GTTTCCGCCCCTTAAAACTGGGCAGGTTGCTTTGGCCAACAGAGTGAGGCGGAAGTGATGCCGTGTGACTTCTAACACTGTCAGAAAGTGTCGTGCAGCTCTGGGGACGCTCGCCTTGGAGCCCGTCCACCCCGCTGCAGAGGCTGTGTCGGGCTGCAGCCCACAGCCCTGCTCGCCCGCCCTGGAGTCCTCCCCACCCAGGTCTGGACGGGGAAGGGGAGGAGCCTCTGGACGAGTCCAGCTGAGGGTCGGACACCACCCGCCCCCTGGTGCCCTGAGCAGCATAGAATTGTTGTTTCACACCGCCGACTTTAGGGGGGTTATAATGCAGGAGACAGCAGAGGGGGTTCTGTGACTTCCCCTGTCTCTGATCATCAGTCCTTTCTCAGCACGTCTGCTCGCTTGGAACTCGGTCCAGGATCAAGCCATGGAGCCACTGTTTACCATCCCCTATGAAACAATGGGGATGGATTAGAATCAGGGGACACTGACCCCAACCCTCTGCTTCCCCCAGATCACTATACACACCCAGCCCTGACACCACTGGAGTGGGGTCTTGGGTCACTTGATGGTGTCAAGTCTCCTGATGAGCTCTGTTTGGATAATCCAGGAAGGCTGCATGTAAGAGGCAAGATTTGAATTGTAAAGATCAGCCAGAGTTAGAAATAATGATGCCATTTTGTTTGTTTGCACAGAAGTATTAAACTAACATAATTACATTAATTGACTGTATTAACATATTAAAAAGCAACAATATTTAGTTTATATTAAAAATAACATAATTCTTGCAGAAATGTTTGACAGGAAAAGCATAAAGATGGTAACACATTTCTTGTGAGCTCAGGCCCAGAAGTCACCACTTCGTGCGCTTCCTACGTTCCCAGCCTGTGACGTGGACTAGGCGGCAGCTTTGGGCAAACTTCCCCCGGGGGTCAGGGAGGCACAAACCAGCTGGCAGAAGGGGCGTTTCCACTGACAGTGGCAGAGGCCATGCCTGGGGCATGTGGTCCCCAAGGAGGTGCCGGCTAGGTGCCCGCCCTCCCCACCCCTGCGCAGCCCCCAACGACAAGGAGGTTGTCATGTGGCCCCTGCCCTGGTCATTTACAGAACAACCCTGCAGAGGGACACCCCGAGTGTGCTGACCCGACATCCTTCCTGCCACCCCTCCACTCTCCGATAACGTCAGGAGCACGAAAGAAGCAACCTGTCTGAGGGAGCCAGGCAACCCGACTGCCGCCCGACTGGTGTCCGAACCAGTCTGCGTCCTGCGCCTGCCGGGGTTGGGGTCAGGGAATGAATTCCTTCATCCACGGCATCAAGGGCCCCCAGCAGCCCTCCTCCGGGGGACAGACTCTTCCTTCCACCCTGGAATGTTTGTGAGCCTCCCAGGTCAAGCCCGAGAACACCCGCTGACGCCCTCTCCTGCTTCTCCGAGGAAGACCCGTTGGCCGCTAGAAGGGGTCTGGGAGCAGGACATTATGAAGGACAGCAGCCAGGCCGTCCCTTGAGGTGGGGCAGGACCTCCCCCTAGGCCTGGGCACCTGGAAGAAAGTCAACACTTAGAGCATTTTCTGCTGCAAAGCAATTGTCACAGCTCCCTGGGGGCACCGTCTGGGACAGACGTGGGCTTGCCTGATCCCCAGCACCCCCGCATTCATGTGACCAATCAGGCCACTGGAAACCAGGCTGCAGGCAGAAAGGCGGTGCCGGGTGTGGCTGCGGGGGCCTGCATGGAGGAGGCTGCGGGAGGGTGTCTTGACCGCAGCCCTGGGGAGTGACTTGCACTTTTGTTCCTGAGTGTGAGGCTGTTAGGCTGGAGGATTAAGATCCTCTAAAAATATTCCAGTTTTGACTTTTCAGGACCTGGGCCTGCCGATCTCCTAGCCTCAGGCCCTCCCCTCCCCTCCCTCCTACTTGTGCTGGCCGTGTCATTGGGCCTTAAAGCTAACTTTTACTTGTCATTAAAGCGATGCCTGTGCTTGGTGTTAGAGGTCAGGCAGCACTAGGCAGCCTGCGAGAACGAGAACAGAAAAGCCGCAGCCTCTGCCTGCACCCGCAGGGCCAGCGGGAGCTGAGCGCCTGCTGCTTGCAAGGGCTCTGTTCCAGGCATGGGGACACAGCGGAGACCCAGACAGCCGAGTGGCTCCTGCCGATGTTCCAAAGGGACTGCCTCCAACCCTCGCAGGCCTCGCCCATGTCTCAGTCACAAGCTTGTGTTGCCACTTCTGTCTCTTCCGTTTTAGACGGTACCGGAACGAAGGCTTCCCACTGCAGACAAGGGGGTCTTACACCCGTGTCCCTGCGCGTCTCCTCCCCCGTATCATCTCAAGTTTTGGATACATCAGTATTTGGTGTTTTGGTTTATATTTGGTGATTGTGTAAATATTGTCCCCCGCTGAGCTGTGCAGCACTCTTTGACTACGTTTTCTATTTTGTGTTATTTGTTTTTCTAGGAGCTAATAATTGCCTTGTTTTCCTCCACATCAAGTTGGTCACTCAGGGGACCCTTTCAACCTGGGGTCTCGTGACCTCCCATTCTGGGAAGGTAGGAGGCATACCTGCTTCTTTTACAAGCTCTTAGCTCATTTTGTTTCCATCCCCATCTGCCCCAGAAGGACCTGTCCCCTCCACCTCCAGAAGGACTTGGTGAGAGCTGAGCGGACTGTTTCTAGGGGGCTGTTAGGTCAGTGGTCTGGCCTCAGACTGGCTTCTTCCCCTGCAGACTGGTTTCACCTTCCTCCATTTTTCTATTCATTTAACAACTTCAAAAATCTTGTAGATTCTTCTTGTCCATGTCATTGGCTTTCCTGTTCTCTTTGTCTTTTTGAGTTTGTGCCTTAAAGTTTTCTTACTCTACTGTTATTTTAGTGAGATTTTGGGAGGGAAAGGGGAAAAATATCCCTGTTCAGTTCATTGTCAACAAGAAGTCCCCCTCACCTTCTCTCTGAGCAACTGCTGTGTGCCGTGGATGATTTTAAGTTGGCCTCTACACAATTTCACCAAGCTCTTTTTTGTCACCCACATTTGAGCTCAGAAGACACCTCCTCCAGGAAGGCCTCCTTGGCCACCCCAGCGCCTCTTTGCCACGTCACCCTGCTTTAGTTCGTTTTAACCCTTATCACTATTTGAAGTTATTTGTGTATTTATTCCACTGAGGTATTTAACTCTTTCTCAACCCCTCTGCCCTCCCCACCCTGCCTCAGAAGATTTGCTCCAGGGACCTTCTGTCTTGTTCCTCACTCTCTCCTCAGCACCAAACATGGTGTCAGGCAAAAATAGATGCTCAGGAAATATATGTTGGATGGATGGATGGAGCCTGGGCTCTCCAAGAGGCAAACTTCAGCCTAACTTAAGGAAGAAGTGGTGATGGTCAGAGTTTCCTGGGAGTGGAAGACACTGCCCTGAGAGGGTGGGTGAGACCCTGATCATGGGGGGCATATCAGCCCAGGCTTGGGGGTGGCCCAAAGAGACACACACACTAATGAAAACGGATGTGATCATCTCCAAGGCCTGGCTGTGATGTGGTTGGCTCAGGTTCAAGCAGCTACTTCCTGGGCGAGTGGGGACACCCCTCAGATCAGAAAACAGCCCTTTGCAGGCAGATACTGGGGTGCGTCCAGGTCGCAGAGTCATCCCAACCTGGACATAGCCCTGCCTTGCATCGCCCTGGTCATGGGGTTTTGGCCAAGGTGCTTGTCTCCGTGTTTGCCATGATTCCACCCCCCACCCTGCCCCATACCGGGTGGTAAGAACAAGTCCCAGGTCCCTGAGCCCAGATGACAAGCTTGAACCTTCCAGCAGAATGACGATCTGGGCCAGAAGACTGCTGTCATCCTTCCTGGCAGTGGGACCTGGGCATGCTGCCCGGGCCTCGGTTCCTCACCTGTGTGGTGATGGTCTAACTACACCGGCCTCACCGGTCAAGCCTTGGTCTTGGTGTGCAACACACATCAACCAGCCCCTGTCCCTGGGCAGGAAGAGCCCTGGGTGAGGACACGGGGACAGACAGGCTCCAGGCCAGGGCTCTGGGGATGCCCAGATCCCTGGGCGCGTGAAGGTTCTTGCGGGCAGCCTCAGGGTTTCTGTGCCACTCTGAAGGGTCCTGGGCAGGACAGACCAAGAGCTCAGGCAGAAGCAAGATGCTTGGCAGCTTCCCAGAAAGGAGCAGAGGGAATTCAAAGGCGATGAGGTTTGCTCAGAAGAAGGGTGTTGCCCACTACTTTAACGGAAGCTTGGGCAGGAAAAGGCAGGGAACACTCTGTCTCCATCTGACAGCTCCAGCGGGCTCTGCTCTGCCGTGGCCAACAGGCTTTAGCCCTCCTCCAAGCCTCCGCTTTCTCATCTGTCATGTGGAGGAATGGTAACAGTGTGCAGCTGCCAGGGTAGTGTGAGCCCCCTCCTTTCCACAACTGCTCACTGAGCACCTGCCGTGTGCCAGGGACACTGCCGTGACCAGAGCAGAGTCACTGCCCCCACGCAGCTTGCATCACAGTGAGTCCACAAGAGGATGTACTTTGGGGGACTAGCACACAGTAGGGCTCTAGAAGTAGTACTTGCTACTTTGCTCCTGGAGCCGTCTAACTTGTATGAGTCCACCCTTTGATACTCGAGAGTGGTGGCGATTTAAACAGAGCAGCCAAGCCCCCGCCCTCCCCCCGAGCTCAAGGGTACCTTCTTATTGCCCTGAAGTACCACCTCCAGCTGGCCTGAAGCTGGGCCAGAAAGAACTCAGCCCTGCCTTGGAGCAGCTCAATTCTGGAGATGCAGGCAGGGGTATGGCCACTGGCAGAGCTGGGGGCCCTGGTGAGAGGGGCTGGGGTGGGGCCGTGGTGGAGGCAGTGTCAGGGAGAGCCTCCCCTCCCAACTTCAGAACTGGGTCTTGAAAGGGGTAGGAATGATGGGGTGGCGACTGTGGGCAAGGGCATTCCTAGCTGAGGGACTAGGCTTTGCAAATAAAAGTTCAGGGAGGAAAGCTAGGGTGGGGAGTGGCTGGACTGGCGAGACGTCTGGGAAGCTCTCTGCTTAGGGAGCCTTGGCAGGGTCTGGAGCTCTGCCAGCCCTGTGTTTGGAAGGCTCCCTGGCTGCAGTGTAGAGGAACCAGGGCAGGAAGCCCAGAGAGGAGGGGGAGCAGAGGAGGTCCCTGACGTCCAGCCACTGTGCCAGGACGGGTCACCAGAGGGCACTGTTGGCCAGCAAGCCGAGGAAACCGTGGCTGGTATGGGGCTGTGCGGGGCCCAGCCGTGAGGGTGGACCTGCAGGTACAAACTGTGCACCTGCCGTGCGCATGAGTGTTAAGTGTGTTCTTGGGGTGCGTGGACTTAGGGGTGAAAGGGGGCCCGTGCCAGGGTGTGAGTGAGCGCGTGCAGCAGTGCATATGGGTGACAGCAGAGCCCCATCTCCTGTCACTCCAGCCGCTACTCCAGCTGCACTGTTACTCCCCACCGGCTGTCCACCTCAGGGTCTTTGCACTCGCAGTTCCCGCCTCCTGGTCTGCTCTTCCCTGATGTCCTCGTGATACCTCCCTCACCTCCCCAGGTCTGTGATTACATGTCACCTTCCAAGGAGGCTGGTCCTGACCTCCCTCTTTAAAGTTACAGCATGCCTGTCCCCTCCCCTCCTTTCCTCCTTGGTGGACTATGATTTAATGTGTGAATTTTGCGTGTGTGGTTCGCCCACCCGACTATCAGTCGCCTCCCCTAGGGCAGGGTGCTGCGTCCCTCTCATCAGGCCTGCAGTGCAAGGCGCACATCAGGGTTCAATAAACAGCTGTTGAGTGAATGAATGCGCTTTCGCCACCCTGGGCTCAGACACCCTCTCTCCAGCCCTCTGTCCCCAGCCCGCCACCTCAGCTTGCACCCCTTCTACCTTGGGCCTCAGTTTCCCCGAGTCTG